ACACCTACCCTTGTGGAGCCTCAAGCGTCGCCTCTAGGGGCGCTCTTGGAGCGCTCTTGGGGCCGTCTCGGAGCCATCGTGAGGCCTCCCGAGCCCGTCAGAAATGAAACGGCGAGAGGGGGACATTCACTGGTGCCTCATAGGTTTTGGAACAATTTGGCCTCTTGTGAGCCTCCTTGGGAGGCTCCGTGGCAACTTGGACCCGTCTTGGAGAGGTCTCGGGGCCTCTTGAAGGCATTGTGGAGGCCGTGTTAGCAATATTAGACTCTTAAGCCATGCTGGAGTGCTGGAGATCATCTTGTGCTATCTGGGGCCCTCTTGGAGCCAGCTTGTGCGCTCCAACGACTCGTTGGGAGCCCTGACCAGACCCAGCGGGAGTGGCTACAGGGAAAGGGGTCAAGCCTCCTCCTGCCCACAAGGCACAAGCCGTCTCGCTCACTCCCGCCTGTCCTCCCAGAACATCCAGAGCACCCAGGCTCCTTCCCCTGGGACAGCCAGAACGTGCACGTTGTTGTACAGCCATGCGTGGGGTTGTTCGGCACGCCCTGTCGGGGAGAGCCACCTTTCGATGTTCGAGCGCAAGTAGTGTCTAGGGCGCAGGCGACCGGCACGAAGATGCAGCCCAGCACCACAGTCGTGGTTGCGCGGGATGCCTACGCTGCCTATGTCGCCTGTGGCAATCGAATCCTGGGGCACTTCAGCATCCAAAAGGTTGGCTACACAGCCATGCGTGAGAATCTCGAGCAAGCTATGTGGAACTACTTCCTTGAACCTAACAAAACATCCGGAGCACCCAAACCTCAGCATATCGCCTAGGAGCGCCACGCATGCCCATGCGCCACGGGTTCCAGGTGCACCAGGCAACATGGAGGTCAAAGCATCACGCGCATGCTCCAGATTCGGAGGAAAAGTGTATGTTTTATTGCAATTTGTCAGGGATGGTTGACCTGCGCTGGACCCCCGCCGTCCCTGTCTAAAACAGATGCGAAGTGGTCGCGGGGCGCCCGCGCATCCTCCAGATATGGAGGCAACGTATACGTTGCATTGTTAGTTGAAGGGGATGGTTGGTCTACGAGCAGCAAGCAATATGAGGGCACCTCCGCCGTCCCTGTCAAACGCCACTACAAAGTGGTCCCGGGGCGCTCGCGCAGACTCCAGATTTGGAGGCACAGTGTGCTTGGTTGTGTTCTTGGCAGGGCTGGGGGGGGTCTTGGGGTTCGGGCTGGCTGCCGGTCGGGTGGGCGGGGCTGCTCATCGGTAGGGTAAAGTGATCAAGGTACCTCTCCCCGCAGGACGGCCGTCTCGCTCACGCCCACCGTCCCTCCCACCACGTGAGCAGTGCCCGCTCCCCCGAATCTCAGCACAGGCAGAGGCCGCCATCGACAACCATTGGGAGCTCGCGACGCTCGGGAGGTGCGCCGCGCGCGTCAGGGCACACCCGCGATCTGACGTAGAAAGTGGTGCTAAATGATGGTGGGGCGCCCGCGCATGGTTTAACGTGCTGCCACAACTTGGTCTTTGCATCGGCGTTTGATCTGGACGGTGGGCCTGCGCACACCAGGCCATATGCTGGCACCCCCGCCGCCATTGTCAAAAATGATGTGAGGTGGTCGCGGCGCGACCGAGCATGATCCAGATGTTGCCATGAAGTGCATGTTGTACTGTTTGTTGACAGGGATGATAGGGAGGTTGTCGTAGGCTCTGGTTCGTCGCTGGTCAGGTGGGGAGGGTGTGTGTGTGTGTATGACTGTGGAGCAGTGGTGAGTCTCTCCCCGAGGGAGAAGAAGGGGGTTGGAAGAGTAAACGCCCCAGACCACTCACGCCCTACAAGGCAGGTGTGATTTTCGGCCTCTGGGGGCCATTGCCGGGCCCCAGGGCAGTCGTCAAACGATTCGGTATGAAAAGCGCTCCCATGGAGAGGAGTGAAGACCTACTGGAATCCACCCTGTAAAATAATCGCGGCGTCGGGGGTCTGGGCTCTGGGCCCTGCACTCCAGGATTCCTGTCAATGGATATTGCAGCCCTCTGGAGGCCAGCTGGAGGGCGACTAACTCAATGCTTGTTATTTGAAGCACGGTGTACAGAGAGATCCATGTACCAGCACACCCATGTCATACACGTTTACATTTGCGAACGCATATGGATTTGCAGTTTCTGATGGTCGTTCCTCAGTTTTTGCGCCCCTCCCTGTCTGCCGCTCTGTTCGTACTGGGGCCGTACCCTGTCGCGTTGGGAACGCCCGTCCGTCCGCCTGGAGGGCGACGTCTTGGGGATGGCTCAGCAGGGGTCGGCTCAGCAGGGTTCTACAAAACGTTGTTTTGGGAGCCTCGTGGCTTGATTCTCGCTTTTTCGCGCTATGGGGCCCTACTCTTGGCCAATCACGAGTTCGGATCTGCGTCCAAACGCCGTTTCGGGCAGTCGGCCGGACCGCGTTCGTTCTGAAACGCTTCAGACCACGACCGAAACGAACACGAGAAGTGCTGTTCTGGTCTAAGCTCGTGTGGTAAGGCTTCGGGCTGCGCACGGGCAGCCCCCCCAGGCGAAGTCAGCTGGCCCACAGGCCCGCCGAGCAGGCCCACCTGGCCTCCACGGGCCTCCCGAGCAGCCCCGGGCGAGCTCAGGACCTCAACACCCGGAGGCGCGGATCGCCCGGGGTGCGGAGGCCGCCCTGGGCCACTCGCTGGGCCCTGGTGAGGCCGGCGGGGGCTCTCTGGGGAGCCCGTGGAGGCCAGCTGGGGCCACCCGCGGGGCGGCCTGTGCGCAGCGGGATGCCTTGCCATCCCTGTGGCTCGGTGTCTGCCGCCGTCCGTGGCGGTCCTCTGCCACGCCTGGCGGGCTGGGGGCCGGCGCGGGCGAAGAGCAGCAGCCTCTCACGGCGCCGCCCGCGGCCTCCGCTCGAAGCGCAGGGGCCGCGAGATGGCGTGACGGAGGGGCGCTGTCCGTTGGAGCCTAAGGCCCTGGCGTCTCATCTTCTTCGAGCCGGGCGTTTTCGCATTTTTCGGGCTTATGGATTCTCGCAGACCGATTTGGTTCGCAAAATGGTGCAGAAATATGGAGTCTAGGGCTCCAGGCGTAATTTTTCGCACTGTTGCAATTTTGCCGCTCGACGTCGGATCGCAGGGTTGGTCCCGGCCAGCAGAAAGGGGGGAGGAAGGGCCCCCCCATTGCCACGGCTGGGGGCGGGTCGAAAAACATTGATGGGTTGCGGCCCCGGGAGGGGTCTGGGTACCAATTCTGAGGGAGTTTCCCCTCATCCCCCCCTTCTAGGGATCTTGTCTGCAACGTGGCAGGGATATACGTGCATTACGTACGTATCTTTTCCTCCCGCCTCGGGAGCGCAACGTGCGCTCCCGAGGAGGGAGCAGGAGTTTCAAATATTTCGAAGATTTCGCACGGCTGTGGGCATCTGAGAAGAAGGGTGGTCGTTGGCGCCACGATGTGGTCCACGTGTTGCCAGGCGGGGGCTGTCCCGCCGTTGGCGGCTACTATTCTGCGCTCCAGCCCAATGCCACAGACTGTGAATTCTTCGCACGGCAGTCTGCCGCATTTTAGAAGAATGGTGGCGCCCTGCCGTCCCCAGGCATTTTTGATTGTGACTGTTGCGCACGGCAGTGGAAGAGCGAGTTGTGGCTGATGAGCTTTATGCCGCTCGGTCACTTTCCTGCCCCGCTGGGGGCCATGCGGGAGGAGGGATGGTAGTGATGACAAGGGCGGATGATGACAACGACGACGACGAACGATCGCCTTGAGGACGGACGACGACGAACGAATGAAAAAGGAACGCCTCGAGGACGGACGAACGATTGAAAGAGCAACGCCTTGGAGGACCGACGTCGCGACGCACGAACGATCGCACGAATGAGCGGTGCCCGAGACAGAGGGCCCAGGGCTTGTTGCGCCCTTACAAAATTGCCAGGGTACCCATCCAATGCTTGTTATTAACCCTCGTGCCAGCTGTGCCACTACCGCTACCACAACCACGTCGAATACTTAACACACGGCGCAGTAACCTCCTTTTCGGCCTCGTCGTAGATGGGGGGTGGAGATCCGAACATGGTCTTGTTCTAGCGCGGCTGCGGGACCGCTTCTTCGCTCTTGCAACTTTTTGACGGCGCATGTGTCGGTTTGCTTCGCCTTTCGTTTCTTGTTGTTGCTTCTCATCTGCCGACTCTGCTCAGAAGACTGCGCAGTTGCCCATCGCCACAAAAGCGAGTTGTGACTGATGAGCTTTATGCCGCTCGGTCATTTTCCTGCCCCGCTGGGGACCATGTGAGAAGAGGCATGGTAGTGATGACAAGGGCGGATGACGACGACGACGACGAACGATCGCCTTGAGGACGGACGACGACGAACGAGTGAAAAAGGAGCGCCTCGAGGACGGACGAATAAATGAAAGAGCAACACCTTGGAGGACCGACGTCGCGACGAACGAACGATCGCACGCAGGACCAGTGCCCACCTGAGCACGAGTGAGTCTGAGCGTGAGGGAGGCTGCGTGTGAGTGAGTAGTGGTACGGGTGGTATTGAACATAAGTGAGGTGACTGCGCGCGAGCCTGACTACTAAATACAGCCGGGCCGAGGTACACGATCGAGGTCGGTTCGGGGAGGGTACCTGGGTGTTCTTCGTGTTTGTTGGATGCTCTTGTGCGCACTGGGGAGGGTACACTTGGATGTTCTGTTCGATTTGGCCGACAGAGGGTCTCATGTTCTCTAAGAGTGTTCTTCTTTGCCCATGTCCCACTGTATGAGGGGGGGAGCAGGCGGAAGTGTAAGGGTGAGGCGCACGGGCCCCGCTGATGAGGACCCCACGCGCAGCACATGACATGGACAAGAAGTTCAAGAAGACCCCCGCAAATTTGCCATGTTGCTTGCGCGCGGTCCCGTGGAACTCGGGAGTTCTCCGCACGGCCAACCGCACCCGTCCGACTCAAGCCGACGCCGGCCACACGGCCCGCAGCGCCGCGGCCCCGCGCCGTCTCGCGGCCGCCGCCCGCCCGGAATGCGCTCCCCTGGCAAGCCCGCGAGGCTTGGCGATGATCTGGAGGCCCTGGTAGCGGTGGAGCGCAGCCCCGCTTTCGACGCGGCCCTGGCGCGCCTCCTGGAGGCCCACCACGCCGACGTGCAGCGGGCGCGGCTCGGGCGGAGCGCGGAGTTGGCAGGCCTCGCCTCGGGGCCGCAGGCGTCGCGGGAGTCACCGCTCGCGGGCGCAGGGCGCGGGGGCGGCGAGCGCCGGGGCGCGGATCGCAAGGGCCCGGACACGCAGGTGAGAGAGTAAATCGCGGAAGTTTCCACTGGTCTCGGTCTGAATGTCTGTCAGTGGATCGCGCCCAATTGCGCTGAATGGGGCCAAGTAGCGCCCAATAGCACCCAGTAGCGCCAGGTAGCGACAGAATAGCGCCCAACAGCGACCAACAGCGCCCAATAGCGCCATGCCCGCTTTGCGCCCGATAGCGCCCAATAGCGCCCAATAGCGAGGGAGATGCATTATGCCCACTTTGCGCCCGATTGAGCGCGCTATTGGACGCCACGGGGACGACCATCAGCACTTGTGAGTTTTCTAACGCAGGTGGGGCCGTTGGGCTGCGAGTGGGAGCAGCAGGAGACCTTTATCGCCGACGCCCACGGCGCAGATGGGCTCTGCAGCAACGGGCAGGGCAATGGCCACCTCGCGTGCAGCAGGAGTAGCCTCTCGTCGGCGAGCATCCAGTCCGGAGCCACGAGCAGCAAGGGGGACATGGACGGGGTGGGGGGCTTCGACACCATCGACCGCATCATCCGGCCGAGTCAGTACTCCCGCGGGATTCAGAGGCCAAGCTGGCTGGGCAAGTACATCAGTGGGACCAAGTTCGAGGTCGGGACTTCGATCGTCCTGTTCCTGTTCTGTGTGATCACAGCGCTCGAGATGCAGGGGGAGGGTACTAGATTGGGGTACGAGTTGGGCTACCCGCGCTACACGGATCCAGAAGCTACCTTTTGGCCCGAAGCGGTGGGAGTATTGCAGGTCTTGTCAATATGTTTTGGTGGTGTTTTCATGTTCGAGGTGTTGCTCCGGTTAGTGGCTGCACCGCGGCAGTTCTTATTTGACCGGTGGAACTTGTTTGATGTGGTAATTCTGGGAGGTTGGCTTCTGGAGTTCACGGGCAAAGAGTTCAATTCAAAAATTTTGCGGACAATTCGTCTTGTGCGCATGTTGCGGTTTCTCCGTTTGATAAAGATTGCAATGCACCTCGAGGGTTTGTATTTCATGTTGAAGGCATTTCAGGGTTGCTGGGGCGTGCTGGGGTGGGCATGTGTTCTACTATTGGCTCTTCAGTCGTTCACTGCCTGCGTCATCTCTCAAGTACTATTCACAACGTACTTTTCCGACGAGGGGCGCCCGATCGAAGAGCGCATGGAGGTGTTTACGTATTTCGGGTCGTTTGTGCGTGCGCTCTTGACCACATTTGAGATGACAATGGCTAATTGGCCAATTCCCGCTCGCATTTTAGTCGAGAACGTGAGTGAATGGTTTATGTGGCTGTTTCTGATACACAAGCTTGTGGTTGGTTTTGCCTTCATAGGAGTTGTAAATGGCATCTTTGTCCAAGAGACGCTCCAAATTGCTATGACCGATGACCTGACCATGGTTCTCAAGAAGCAGAGGCACATGCGAACCCAGAGGAGGAAGTTGGAGAAGCTCTTCCGGGCGGCCGACAGCGACAGCAACGGGCGGGTCAGCCGACCCGAGTTTGCGAGGATCCTCAAAAACAGCGGAGTGAGATTGTGGCTTGCTTCTATGGACTACGACCCGAAGGACACCATATCCGTATCCACGGCCTCGCGGCCCGAGCCCTGGGGCCGCGACCCCGCGAATACGGTGCGTTTTTGTTCGCGCATGCCCCGCGCGGAACGTATTCGCGCGACCGCGCATCCGCGGAATCGCACCCTGGAATCCAGACCGCGAGGACGTGGATATGGATACGTTCGCCGTTAGTGAGGACCCCAACTACCTCTTCGACCTGCTGGACAAGGACGGCGGTGGCGACCTCTCCGCGTCGGAGTTCCTGCGGGGGATGACGCACCTGCGCGGCTTCGCGCGGGCGATGGACGTGCTTCACCTAGACAAGCAGCAGGAGCACGTGCAGCGGCTGGTCAAATCCAGCTTTGTCTTGCCCACGCCCATCCAGAAGGACAGGTGGCAGCACAGACATAGCTCTCGGGAGTCCGTGCGCATTTCCCGGGTCCGTGCTGGGCCCCCCTCCCCGCCAACCCAGGGCGGCGCCTCCGGCAAACACACACACACACACGCACACACACACGCACACACACACACGCACGCACGCACGCACGCACGCACGCACGCACGCACGCACGCACGCACGCACGCACGCACGCACGCACGCACGCACGCACGCACGCACGCACGCACGCACGCACGCACGCACGCACGCACGCACGCACGCACACACGCACACACGCACACACACACACACACACACACACACACACACACACACACACACACACACACACACACACACACACACACACACACACACACACACACAGAGGCGCGCTCCGCGCGACGGCAACGGGGTGCTGGGAGAGGTCTGCCCAGCGCCGACCCAGGATATCCGCGCGGGACTTCCAAAGTCTGTGCTCTCATGCTCCCCCCTAGCCCTTCTGCGATCCAGCTGGCAGACATCGAGAGCTCCAACAACCTGGAGCGGCTGCTGCAGGTCTGACGCGCGCTTCCGCCGCTGACCTCCAGTGCGAAGGCGACGTGCCCAGGGAGGCGGCATGCGGGTAGGGAAGAGTGTAGCAGGCTCGTGCAATCTCGAGGTGTGGCGACGCCAGCCTGGCGCTGCCTGCGGAAGTTATGTTTGGGGCAGTTTTTTTTGTTGGGGGGGGGAGGGGCTTTGGGTCGTGTGCGGGAATGGGCGGCCCCGCGTGCCGGGCCCCTGGGCTGCCACACCGTGGATGCGAGGAGTTGTGTTCGCCGATGCCCCGCGCAGCGTACGGTATGTTCGCGTCGTGTCGACTGGCGGCGAACCCGCCGTTGGCGTTCAACGTTGAATGCCGCCAGCGACCCAGAATCGGCCGACGTTGAATGATCTGACGTTTCGGAAACGGCCGAACGTTGAAGGATGAACGATCCCCGCCGTGTCAGCAATCAAGGCCGTAGTTGGCACTGTGAGAGAATGCCTAGTTTTTCAGAGTAGGTTTAGAATGTGGATTTGCACTTCGTTTCCGTTTGGCTCAAGTCAAAATGCTATCGGGGGGATTGTTGTGGTTGCAGTTGTTGGCGGAGCGAGGTACCTCGCTGAGAGTCCCTTGGGAGCGTGAGCCGGCGTTGTGGAGGCGACTGGCACCACGTGTTCTCGAGTTCTTGGCGAGGACGTACTCATGGGTCCGACTGGCGTGGCTTCCACGGCATGGGTGAGGACATCAAGGGTGTTGAGGCAATAGCGCTGGCGGTGATGACAGGAGCGGACTCTTGGACATCGGCTGCAGGAGGAAGTCCAGATGCGTTGCCGGCAGAGGGCGCGAGTCCAGCGACTCACGCGCCCAGTGCCTCACCAGCAGCAGGACCGACGACGGAGCAGCTGACCGAGTTGGTGACGAGTGTCGTCAGGGAAGCGATATGGGGCGTGACCACCTCCAGCTGCCTCGACGTCACCGGCTGCGAGCAACACGCAGCGAACCGATCCCTAGCTACGAGCTGTGCGCGACCCTAAGAGGAGACGAGCGGACTCGTCCGCTTCGGCCGAGGTCAGGGACGGCAGCTACCAGGACGAGGACGGCCACGAGACTGGTACAGGGACGACTTGTTCAAGAAGGGATGGCCCAGGCCAGGGGCAAGCTGGGACTGGAGTCGACGATCTGGGGCCAAGATGACTGGAAGACCAACACCTGGCAACCAGGTTTACGAGGCGACGTCTCGGATCCACTGGTGTGGCCAGGCTCGATGTTTTGCAACATTGGCGCTGAGCCTGCAGGAGATGGAACACCAACACCGACGTGTCGACCTGGGGTCTTTCTGAACAGTACCTGAAGCTCTTCGGCTGGAGAATTCAAGCTCTGAGGACTTGCTCGCGAGCAGTCGACGGATAGACTCAGTCCTAGGCCGCATGGGCATGAGGATCGGGGAGAGAGAGAGAGAGAGAGAGGAGCGGACGGAAGCGGCTGTTCGAAGCGGCTCGCGGGAGTAATGGTGTTTTCATTCAGTAGGTGAGCTGGCGCGAAGCACAGCTTGCCGAGGTGGAGCGCAGCGACACGTGGACCTCCCCCAAGCTCAAAGCAATCGTTCTGCAGGAGGGCGCTGGACTGAGCGTCGAGGGCACGCAGAACTTCCGGACCCGGACGCAAGGGAAGCTGGACTACCACAGTGTCGCGCGGGCGATGCGACATATTGATTCAATTGGTTCTGAGAGGCTGTTTCCCGCCGAGGCAGCGCTAGGAATCATTATCGCATCCATCGGCGGCGAAGGTGCAAGCCGTAGCTGTGACGAGCACCTCCAGTCTTTCCGCTCCTCTTCCTATCCCTAGGGTCGGTCTGGTGGCGGTGACGGTTCATTCGACGACAGCGAATGCGATTACGAGGAGTACGATGACGTGGACCCAGAGGCCGCCGAGGCGGCGCTCAAGGCAGAGTCCTACGATCTCGGCACGCACGAGGACCAACTCAAGGGGGCCCTGACCAAGCTCGCGCCCAGGCCCACGCGTGGGACTCGGCAGCAGAGAAAGCATATCATGCGCGCGGCCAAGAGGGTCAGCAAATGGTTCGGCAGCAGGACCAAGGATTGCGGGCGCGGCCGCGCCGCTCCCCAGGGGCTGCCTCGACCTCATCGGGAGCGACGTCCGGGGCGAGCCCGCGGCAAGGGCGGCGGCCAGGGGCGTCAATTTCGGCAGCCGAGACAGCTGGGCATTGAGCAGCACAGTTGGATCACGAGGTGCAGCGCGCGCCATCTGAATGGCCACTCGAGTTGGGAGCGCCCCGAGAACAAGTCAGAGGCAGGTCGCCCAGATGCCGGGGGCCGTGCGCGCGGAGCTGCTGATCGCGAAGGACTCCCGGCCAACTCGCTCGCGGGCTGCGGAGTCGACGCCAACGGGGAGGCCGCCGCGCCCGGGGCCCTGGGCACGCGGCGCGACTTGCAGGCCGAGATCACTGGGACAGCCGTTTTCTGACCTCCCAGGCAACGGGGCGCCCCGCGGCCCCCGAGGCTGGCATCAACCTGGTCGGCGCGCAGGCCCTCGACCGGGAGTCGCAGGTTCTCGCGGACGTGGGTCTGAGGCGCCGACCGAAGTTGACCGGGCGAGGCGAGCCGCCCGCGGCGTCAGCGGTTCCCGCTGCGCCTCAGCGGGGCCGCGGGCGCCGTCGAGGCGACGGCGTTGGCCGAAGACGTTCTTCGGGTCATCGGCGCGAGCCCTTTTTTCGACCACTTGGGCCGCGTCGCCGAGCTGCCCCGCGGCGGCGCACGGACGGGCGCCCTGTGGACAGACGTCGCACGGGACAGACTCAGCTCGGGGCGCCGGATGGCTGGCATCATCCGCCTTTTTGAATCGGTCGGTGACCGTGCCCAGATCAGCGCTGCAACGTTTCCCTTCCTGGCAGTCGACCCCCGTAGTTGCGCGTGGAGGCGAGGCCCGGGAAATGCGAGATGACGGGGGCATTTGGGTTCGCGCTCTCTTCTTCTTCCTCATGGGCCCTCCGGCTCTCGGGTCAGCCCCGCTACTCGCGGGTTTTTTTACGGAGGAGGCTCGAAGTGTCATCGCCGCGGGAGGCCCCGAACAGGTGCCCGCGCCAGGCTCAGGGGGCGCCGGTGGAGCTCGCGACGGGCGTCGCGCTCGCGCGCAACCGGGTGGCAGGTCCACCGGCTCGGCGAGCCCCGCGCGGGGCTCCCGGGAAATTCGGGCCCTCGGCGCAAGCTGCGGCGCGGTTCGAGAACGAGGCGGCGCCACCGCGGGGTCAGAGGAGGACAGATTGTCATGGGCATGGGGATTGCGGTCACGGGTCGCTCATTTCATTTCGAAGACACCCAGTTTCCATTTTTCTCGCGCCCGCCCCAGAGGCGGCGTCGATTCTGACTGCGCTCCGTCCGGAGAATCTTGCGTTCACGCCGCGCTGGCAGCCGAGATGTCCATCGCGGCCCTCGTCGCCGCGGGGCCCCGGGCGCCGTGCTCGGCGGGCCCGGGGGGAGATGCCCGAGGCACAGGGGGCAGCGGAAGAGCTGCTATTTCGCACCTTTGAGCGGCTCAGTAGGCAGATGTGGTCGCCGAGGACGAGGCCGGCGACCCGACGACGGCAGCCCGCGCCGCCCGCGGGCGCCTTGGCGTCGCCGAGGGCGCCGCGGCCCCGACGCCCCCAGCAGCAGTGAGAGCGGCATCGGCGCCGATGAAGACCCCCCCGAAGCCGCGCCCACGGACGACGGCCCCGACTCCAGCTGGTCAGCAACCTCCGCCGACGAGCTCCGAACCTGGAGTGCCCTGATCCGGGTCGCGACATCAAGCGCCCCGGGGACCGGCGGGGGGCAGGGTCGACGCGCGCGAGGCGCGGCCCCGGGCCAGCGCGGGCCCTGCGGGGCCAGACCGGATCTTGAGGCCCACGAGATCGGCCTGAATCGGCAGCAGCGGGCGCGGGGAGGGCGGCAGAGCCAGCCGACAGGGCGGTCGAGATTCCAGCAGGACAGGATGTTCACCGCGGGAGCGGCGGCGGTCAACGCGACGAATGGGCTACGCGGGCTCCTGGAGGTTTTGCCGGGGCAGTTGCAGGGCCTCCACAGGGGCTGCGCTCGGCGAGGCGCATCCAGCGATCGGGCGGGGCCGATCGCCTCTCAGCTGCCGGGCGGCGATGGCCTCGACAAAAAGGGACTTCGGCAGACCCGCCGCGGCGTCGCGCACGTCCGGCGCACGGTGGAGACGTTCGGCTAGGCGCTGGGCGCGGTTCAGGAGCAGGCGAGATGGATTCAGGAAGAGCTGACGAACGCGCAGCAGGCTGCGGGCCATTTGATGGCGAGGACGGCGCAGATCCAGACAGTGGCCTCGGCGGCCAAGCAGACGCCCTGTCATCGTCGGGCAGCGGTTCGAGAGATCAGGGCGGCAGCGCGACGACGCCGACCATTGCGACGACAGAGGTGCATCATGACTTTTCCATGCGCCCGTGGGAGATCATCTGGGGCGGCCCATGCCCAGGCCGTGCGTCAGCTCGCGTCTCTCCTTGTGCTGATCAAGAACCACCGGGTCCCTAGTGCCTGGGAGGGGTCAGCGTGCTTCTCGGCCCCCGCTGTCCGGCTCGCACGGCGAGGCCCTCGTCGCCGCGGTCGGGTCCAAGGACTGTCTGCGCCGAGGAGATGAGTCCGAGGCCTCGTCGAGAAGGGGGGGGGGTCGGCGCGGGGTCCGACGGGTTGCATTTGCGGCTGTGCGGGGGCCGTTTCACGACGATCGCGGGGTTGCGCGGAGGGCCCGAGGAGGAGCTCCTGGGCGGGGCATGGCCGCGAGCGGGTTCACCGATGGGGCGCGCCTCAGCCCTATCACGCTCGCAAGATGCGGGCCCAGATCCATCGGGCGGAGCCGGGGAAGGTCTGGTTGACTTCCGCGCGTAGGGACTCAGCGATCGACGGGATCAGCCGAGAGCTTCGCGATCCGAGTCGGCGGCGCCAGAAGGTCTTTGAAGGCCTCAGGGGCCTTGCTCTGTGCGCCGAGGCCGCTCAGCACCTGAACGCAAGGGGCGCCTCCTTGCGTTTGGGCCGCCCCCTGCGCGCCAG